TTACAAGTTCTTGGCCTCCATTCGAAAATTTTTCTACCCCACCTTCAGTCAAACAATCGGCATACATTACTTGGGCCCTAAATGTCTAATTCCAAAGTCTATCGCAATCCTTTTCAATTTGCTACAACTATTTGACATGTAATGGCGATTCCGTGCGCGTCGGTTTTCTGAAAGATAATAAATTAGCGTTAGATGGAAATATTACTTTAAGTCTTTTTATTTAAGTTTTTATTATGTCTGTCTGTCATTGAAATCATGAATCGTTCCAAAAGCCATTGCGACATTAACGTTACAATTTCCATGAACCGCATCACACTCGCTTTACTTTTGAAATTATTTGCGATAGATCTTTAGGCCATTTACTGAAATAATCGAAAATTACTTTTCTAAAATTAATGATTTTGAAATGATCTTGTCTAAAATTAATAAAGGATTTTGAATCTCGATTTAAAAACGTACCTAAACACCTTTTTGAGGAATATCGTCAAAAACTTTTAAAAAGTTTTGCCAATTATGTTTTGCGATCAAATGTCTCAACCACAGAACATAGAGAGAGATCTATGTTCTGTGGAACTCATATGAAATGTCTCAGTATGACAATTTCAATGACTATATATTGAAATTATTAAAAAAAAAAATTGGCAATACTGTTAATGGGTAAAAATAGAGACCAGTTGGTACCCTAAAGACTAAAACCTGTTAAAATATTTGCTGGTTAGAGTTAACAGGTATAAAATGACCAACCTACATTCTTAGTGCTAGCTTTATGTAAATAGCATCTGGGCTGCATCGATTACCCCCAGCGCAGTGCGGATGCGCTGTGCAAACTAGCGTTGTGCGTTTTATCGATATTTACGGACATAACGATGGAAAATAAAACACAAAGTAACAAAGAGCTCAAGAACAAGAGTACAAGAAGTCTTTTGCCTATCGCAATTGCTTCCATTATAGCTTAACTTTATTCATCCTATTATAAAACAAAGATTAAAGCTAATACAGCAAATTGACAATGACAGAAGAGAAAACTTCAACTTGTGACGTGTTGACTTATTTTGTTCTAATAATCGTTTAAACCTAGTACTAAAGTAATTCCTAGTTTTATAATAGATACCGGTTGCTCTATACACGCTGTCTTATAGTTAACGTTTTTGTTTTAGCTTTGAGATGTGCGTATAGTTTAAAATTAAATGTTTTATAAACAGGTATTTTATACATTTTTTTAGTTTCAATAATTAATCTATTAATACATAAATAAACATCATATAACGCTATTTTTTAATATAGTTATTTATTTTCTAATGTGAAATGCTTTGAAGATTTTGCCATCACTTAAAATGAAAATTTCAATTATCTGTGTATAGATTAAAATTCTTTGTGATTATCAAAAAAATAGAATTTGTCGATATTACACCTCCATACAATCATCGACATTACCTTGACACGGTCAATTACACATCCCTACAGGTCCTGCTCCATTTGCGTCAGATTCGTTCTTGACCTAATTTAATGTATTATCAAAATTAACGATAACAAGCGACGATTGTTATTATTAGCTGCTTTTAGAAAAAAATCCTTTTTATAGCATTAATATCTTAAAATCTACAAAAATAGGGATTTTTGTCAGATCTTGTATTTGTTATTACAATTAATAAGAATTTATATAATGATTTCCAATAGAAACATTTATTTTATAATAAGTTACGGGAATAAAGTTATACTAGGTATGTTTTCACATATTGGTAATTAATAAAGACTGGATCGTTAAGACAATATCCGTGGCTGAATTATAGTTAATTGTCTGTATTTATATATATATTAATTATTCATAGAATTAATAAATTACGGCTCAATCTTGTTTTAAAATAGTGCTCTGTATAATATGGTAATTAATAAAATTAACATTAGTTTAATCGAATCAGAAGCGAAGTACCTGTGCCTCTTATAATAAAATTATGTAAGTTGTTCTGTCCAAACCTGTTGGTGTCATCGACCTCCACCGAAAGCGGCGGATGCATCGACACAATTATTAATTGATAATACTCATGGAAAAAACGGTTCGATTTGTAATGTGAAGCAACATTAACCGTGGTTGAGGTAAGATGGGTGACCGACAGTGGAATTCTTTTTAAACATATACAGTTTAACATATATTATGCCGTTCAGTATCATTTTTATTTTGCGGTTGGGAAAAAACGAAAAAACTGATCCAAAAAAGTATTTAAAAAATAATATTAATACCATCAGCTGTTATTCGAAATGCAACATTAAGCCAATGGAATAAGATGGTATAAAAACCTAACATTACATTTCAATAAGCGAATCAAATTACATAACAAATTAAATAATATGCAGAAGCGAATTCGTTTCAAAAATAATGACAGATTTTCTCGTTTCCAATCAATATTATTATAAGTATCTCAAACAAGAGTCTAATATAAACCTTAACGATAAAGATACAAAATACATTTTGCTGTAAGTGTAGCGAGTTAAGACATTTACATTCCAATACAGTAAGGTAGCGCAGCCTTCAAAGCTCTCACTTAAAACGCAACTTTAAATAAAGATTAGTTCACACCACATCAATAGCGACCGTATATAGCGACCATAGAAAATAATAGATTTTCATAATTTCCTGTTCAAAAATACATGATTAATGAAAAATAAAATATTAACCTGGAACCTGAGTGTTTTTTTTTAAGAATAAGATATCATTGTGAGGGATATCTAGTAAGAATAAAAAACTGATATTCAAAATTTAAAGACCAAGACACGTCTTTCATGAACAAATCGATCGCGTGCCGTTGTAAGGTGATCTCAGGAGCTATTGGAACGGAAACCAGTGGCCGGAAACATATATGAAAAAACTTATGAACATCGAGGAGACGGAATATGTATGTAAGGACAGTGTCTTCTGGAACACGGTCCTGTCTGTCTACCCTGCAAAGAATAGAATGTGAAGATATAGACAGATAGATGGATATAGGATAACATCTTAAATGAAATATTCATAGAAACACTAAAATTCGAACGCAACATCAGTTCAAATCGAACTCTAAGTTAGATTTACGTTAGATAGACGATTTTTTTGACATGTAGTTCTTAATAAATATCATAAACTCTTTACAGGCTTGAAGCGTGTATTTTCTTATAATATATTTTTATTTCTGATTCTTTTGGTAATTCATTTTGTAAAGACGTACTGATACATATAAGACATAAATCCTTTAAATTAGTAAACACCAGTGTATACGCACCCTGACAACATAAGATATTCAAGGCGAGTCTCCGGCCACTTTACTCAGTTGCCACAACTCTTGCGCACCGAGCGTATGCGCGCGCGCATCACCAACAAAACACCTGACAAAACGTGTCGAAAAATAAATTAAAATTACGAAAAACCCCTCCAAAAGGTACACTTGAAAGTTTCGAATTCGAAAATTTGCGCGCGAGCAGCCATTTTGAGTGAAACTCTTTGAAGTTTATAGGTTGTTTCTCAAGTGCAGTGATATGTTCTCGGGTTGTGTGTGAGGTGAGTACTTTTTCGTGGATTCGACTGTCTCGCTCTTTTTATTGAAAAAGGTATGACGATGGATCTAGACTTCATGTTTTGTTTTTTTTATGTTTCGTCGATAAATGACGTCATAATGTTGGAATAGGTACAATTAATACACCTTACATAAAGTAATTTAATTTGTTTATTTACAAAAGGTTATTTGAAAACCTATAAGAAGGCTAAACTATAATTTAAATAAGTGAGCTTTAAGCAATTATGCTTAAGTTGGCAATAAAATTAAAGTGTTTAAAGCTTAGTATAAAATTAATATGCACTACAACTCTAAGAGTTGATTTGACCTTTAGTTGTATTGTAATAAGGTATAAATGAGTTAATATTGTTCCTCGTTACCGTATTTATGTTCAGGTATCTTTTTTCTTAATTATCCTCAATATCATTTCTTGTCTTCGTTTATTAGTTTTTAGGGTTGTCTTCAATTAGGATTCCAATTCAATAATATGGTATTACGATAACAGGTATTTCTTTTAATAATCATTATCCTTATCTCATCGATTAAGTTACTTTTATCCAATTTTTTTTCAAGTCAAACATGTTGTACTAAATGTTGAAATTTTGTAGTCAACATCTGATTCAACTTTCGAATATTATATCGTTGAAATCACATTTAGTAAACATTTCACAGAAGTTATATATTAAGATGATCTATGACATTAAGTTTTTCTAGTAAAATTAGTGAGTTTTAATGAGAGCCTCGTAGTGAGCTCCGGCAATCAATCCACAATGGGTACCTAACTAGGAAAGGCACCAGAACCTCAGATCATAAAAATGTTCGAACATGAAAAAGCAGCAAGTAGACAATTATCCCTGTCTGAGAAACAGACGTGAAATTACCGTATATACCTAATCGTGTAATTTTGAGATTCCTATAAGTTAAATGAATAGGAGAATAGAGAATAAAGATCTTGTAAATAAAAAAAAGAATATAGAAAAAATCTTGGCATAAAGAATTCACTTAAATACTTATATAGTATATATGAGTAGAGATGAACATAATATTAATAGTTTTTTTGATGACAAGAAATAATTTTAAAGCCTGGAAATGGCACCTATTTAGCTCATAATAAGGTAATAATATGACGCTACAAAACTAGGACACCGATAGCAAGAAAAGAATAAACCAATGAATACGAATGAATCTGAACAAGTATTATCGGCTACATGCAAAGCAACCTTATTTAATACAAAACATATCGATGCATATGAAGTTATAATAGTCAAACATCTTCCACGCCCACCTACGCTTTATCAGAATCGCGTTCAAGAATATCGTAATATATTTCTTATAGAATTGAATATCTCAATTGAATGGCCCCGATTCTTGCAATCGTGTATTTATCATTTGTATCGTAATAAGTCATGGCTTAGCACACAACTATTAAGTAAATCACTGATATGCCGAGAATCGAACTCCACGCCTCGGTGATACCCGGCCAAGCGTGTATTGAACTGTATATGCTTCCGTTATATAAGTACAATTGAATTTTAATTTAATTTAAAACCTTTAATATCTTGTGAGAAGTCAAATTCTCATCAGTTATTTATTTTGATTTTGAACTCTATATCAATAAAATGAAGTGAAAAAAAAAACAGTTTTGTTTAGTCTTACGCGTTGACTGTACTTCTTTGATTTTACCAAGGCTTGTGAACCAATGTACCATTGCATTCTTCATCAAAAATTACCTCTTATGAGACTGTATGACATCATATCTATAAATGTTTTTAATTTCAAAAATTAAACATAGATAATTTTAATATCTTAATTGAATTGGAGTGTCACAAGGTTCTATACTAAGCCCTTTGCTATTTTAAAATTAGAAAGTAATAGTGAATAAAACGTAATAATAACAGTGCAATAAAATAAAGTATTTATTTTTATTATTTACGTTAGTATTTATTTTTATTTAAAAGATGAATGAAGTTCATAAATGACCACATGAGCACAAGATGTGTTTAATAATAATCAGACAACAAAACCAAAACTAAAGTCTGTAAAGTGTTCTAATTTGTCACGTTATACCACCGTACGATAGTTTTAGTTGCTCGTACTATAAACTAATCATAAAGTTATTTAATAAAATTAGATTTATATAGTAGGTAAATAAACTGTTACTTTCAAATGCATTGAGTGCTGAATCGGTGTCCTATTGGTAATATACAGAATCTTATTATGAATGTCAAGATTGTTAAGACTGGATATGATAATTATAATTATACCTATATCTGTATACGTTCCCGCATAGATTTCATGATTTACGTAAGATTGCTTTTTAATGCTCCTATATTTTTTTAATTATATAATGTGTATGACATCCTTTTCTCATTGTTACAGATTACCAGTGTTAGGAGTGATTACATAGACTTAAAATCCAATTCAAGATGGCGATTGTCCGAGTGTTATTTTGTCTCTGCTTTTTACACATGGCGTTGGCGAAAGGTAACATACAGTTTATTTATTTTAAATGAAAATATCTTTTTCAAGTAGTCTATTACAAGCACTTTTGAATCGTCCAAACCACCATGAGCTTAAGCATGAGCTATTTACACTGTGACAAAATAAGAAGAACGCTAATTAAGCACCATACTGTTTAGACTACTTACACCACTACAAAAAGAATCAGCTCTCTCACTCAAACAAATATATGATTAAATATATTTTGTTATTTCTTACCTATATCATAGGTATATATATACTACTACATCTTTAAGTAATTTAATAAATGAAAGCGTTTTATCTTTTTTTTTGATTAAATTATCGTTGAAACGTTTTACCTGCAGTGAATTTAGCTGCGAAATTGCCATTTATAGTTAATAACAATTCCATTGCACACAACACGAATCTCGGGCAGTAGGTGCAAATTATTCATAGATACAAGTGGCACAGTACATAAACAAAAGCAGAAACTTATAGGCCAGTAAAATTAGTGTTTCATTTTGGAACAACATATAATAAACTGGTCTCGCATTAAGTTTCATATTGGTGATCTGGCAGGTTCAGCCTATGCCGGCTAACCATAGATTATATTCCTAATGAAATATGCTTAAAAAATTCACTTGGTCCCTGACACTCTGAGATGGGATTCGAACCATTCAAATTTTTGTATACATTTTTAATTAAGAATAGTTTTCAGTATAGCATTTTAAATGCGAAATTTATCAAATATAATAACATAGATTATATGATTATTAGTTGTTTCCTTTTTTGTTAACATATTTAATTTGAAAAGAGTTAACATTAAGTTTGATATACGTGGTATCAGTGCGGGCTTCTTCGGAATACTAGTGCAATCTTTGCTTACTGCACTCATCTGATACAGTTTGTTTTTCTGGTTTTTTTTTTTAATTTATATGTCTATCGTATTTATATATTGTGTACGTGTTGGGTATTATAAAAATAATTTGAATCTATTCTATTCTAAAAAATCTCCGAGTTCCATGTCTGTGTTGTAAATTTATTCAAAAATGAATGTGTGAAACCAACGGGTTTCTGGGTTATCTCTCAATTCCAAAATGAAGAATCTTTGTGCTTATTTGACTGAGATATCTTCATTTATTTAATCAGGATGCGCAAGTGGAACTAAGGTTTAGGTAAAAAACTTGATTTGGATTTTCATACGAAACTGTGCAAGCCTGAACTTCTTTCCATGGATTTGAAGTATCGATACTATTTTTCTCTGGGTACATCTAATTTAAAACGGTATATATTATTTTTAATACACTAAAGTACACCTATATTACAATTGTTGCATTTACGAGAGACTTGTCTGTCTCATATAATAAGTATCATATAGCATAACAAAACACATAAAGTACTTATAAGTATCATAAGTACCTACTGTATGTGTTTCCCTATATATTTCATATTGCAACCCTATTTAAAGCTCATATATATTAATGATATCTTTAACAAAATTGCCATATCTATATTGAATGACATTAAACTATCACACCAATTAACAACGTAGTTTTTAATCAACTTTAAAAAAAAGTTGCCTAGTCCATCTGATTATTTTTTTTCTATTCCAAACCAAATCCAATAGCTTTATGATACACAAATTCATATTTAATCAAAATAAGACTAAAGTTTCTGCATTAAAACGAACTATGTAAATATTGTGCTTAAGATCAGTACCGTGAAATTTGTACAGCTTATAGAGCTATAAAGGTAATAAAAACCGTTTTGGGTGTGGCCAAAATCATTATGAATGTCGGTCAGTAGTAATCTCTAAGCCACAGTAATAGTACAGTAACAATAATAACTACTGTATACTTAAATTAAATACATAAGCTTTAGCCTCTTTCTAAAAATAGAATGGGATAGGTTTTATTACAGAGTAGCTCTACCTTATTTCTGTAAGAAATATGAACAGTAGCTTATTAATTTAAAGCGTATCTTATAAACCTATAGGAGTATTTTTTTACGTCTACGGAAGAAGATATAACATATTAAACTTATTTAAAAAAAAAAAAAAACGCCAGTTGAACTGGTTTTATCTGAAGCACTTTTACAGTTAGGTTCCTTATAGGTCGACGGCGATGTATGATTTTTTATGTATGTTCACCGATAATTTCGTTAATTGTTGACTGATTCTCAAAATTAATTTGACAGCTTGATGAATTGAGATAGTCTCATTTAAATTTTATCGAAATCGAATAAGACGTTTTCCTTTTATAACAAAATAAAATACGATTTCCAACAGATATCACCTAAATACTCATATGACATAACCCATTTCAGGTAAAAAACAAAAGATTGCTATTAAAAATTCATACAAAATTTTAAAGGAACATTTTCTTGTTCGACGAGTATGTAAGCTTTACTCTTTGACATATATTTTTTATGAAAATTTATGAAAAATTTCAGGCATCAATGTGTTACGTATATATTATAGAAGTTGGTATGTTCATCAATTTCTTATTGAATTGTGAACCAATTTCTATCAAACTAGCTGTTCCCGCGACTTCGCCTGCGTAAAGTATAGCCTATGTTAACCCAATATGATGTAGCTACCCGTAAGTGAAAGAATTTAAATTAGTAAATAGCTTTGGAGCCTATTCGATGCAAACAAACAAGCAAAACTTTCCTGTTTATAATATTAATAGGTATAAATATTGACCCGATTACAAAATGAGTAGCTAACTAAATCTATTATTGTGGAGAATCTGAAACAACGAAGGGTATCACAATATCCAGAACCAAAAACAAAAAAAATTCTACATTGACCTAGCCGGGAATTGAACCTGGGACATGATGTGAGAGGTATTCGAAGACGGAGTAATAGAATAATATATTGTGATTATTATCTAATGTATTGTTATTAACCGACTTCAAAAAAGAGACACGAGTCTACAGACAGGACACGAGGTTACAAGAAGTCAAATATCTGGAATCAGTGTTAAATTAAACCATTATCACATTAAGAATTCAAATTGATTTGAGAAACTTTGCCTTGGAAAGAAATTAGTTGCTATGAGTACATTATTAATATTACGATACAAACTCAATAAAAATATCAAATTAGAATTAAAAGATTAACGCCATCTCTTGACAGACTAAGTAAACTGTAACATTATGTTTTTAAAAGAAACTTTTCCACTGCCAGTGTTATTCTGTTACAACTACTCATCGTTGAGCGCAGCGCTGTCATAGCATAAAGTTCAATCAATTCGTTCTACATCCGTGACCAGTTCGCTCACTGAATAGTGCAGTGGCACAACTCAAAAAACATATTTCGAGAAACGCTCTCCGAAGTTATGAAAATTTAATATATTTGTAATTATGAAAATCAATTTTTTTTAGCATAACAGTTAAATCGTTTGTATTATATTATCACTGTTAAGTTATTTATTTCAATAGAATAAAACGTAACAAAAATGAGTGATTATCGTAAAAATAGTGATCGGGTCTCCTAAACAACAAAAATGATTTTATTATTCGTTTACGGTACAGAACCTCGTGCGCAAGTCTGACTCACACTGACTTGCCTGGTTTTTAACAGAATACCATAGTTGTTATAGAACAAAGTGATGTGCACCGCCCACAACTTTATAGCAATTAAAAATAACTAACAGTTCAGTTTTGATGAATCAGTGTTAACGGTTTATATTCGGTTCATTAACGTTAGGTTCACTGTCTGGATATGTCGACTTTTTGCGCTTCTTGATTATTCTTTTTTTATAATTTGAAACGGCAACTGTATTAAGACTTGTCCACACAGAGGTACATTTTAAAGTTTCTTACTTTTGTTTGCGCTCATATAATAAAGTTGGGATTTTTCTAATTTATATCTATAGTTAAATAAATTGTGACTAATGTAATCACTGCTTTTGTAATGATTTCTTATTTAATTGAATTAAAAAAAATATTTCGTTTACTTTGGTTTATAAATATAGATTTTTATGACTTCGATAAATAATTACTCAAAATTATTTTAAATTATTATTATTTCACCAATATTGCATAGTGATGAAAAACATACTGCTACATAAATACTCAATTCTTCAATCCCCAATACTAAAATTACATTTAACCATATTTATTTATATTTTCCTCCTCATCAACTTTTTTTGTAAATATTCTCTTCTTAACAGAAAGAAATCGACTTGCTAGATGTAAACGCTTAGTTTATTTCAGTATTTACCACACATAATTCGTTGTAGTTAATCGATTTTCTTTAAGCTTTCTATTCCTTCGGTCTATCCGTTATACTGATTGTGAAAAATGTAGCGCAAGTATTGAATTTCATTAAATTGATGCAAAATGTATTCCAAAATGCATATGACTACATATTTATGAAAACCGTTACAAAATAAATATAATTTATAGGTACATAGATGTAATTATTAAAAATTGTATGTTATATACTTACCAATCAAGAAACTTAATACACTAAAATTACATTATTGGGATTTTAACATTTCAAAGAGATTTTTTCTATACATCGACGTTTGTGATGGCCGTTAATCCTTACAAGCCTTACAACCATTAATATAAAGTAAATGAGAAGTATCAAAATTAGACAGAATATAATTTAAGTTTCATATCGGGGGTGTGGTTTGCATAATATGTTTTATTAGTCATAATTTTATAGCTACCATTAGCTGTCGCTCGCTTTAGGTGCTATGCCAATGAACTATAGCCCTAATATCATACAAGTTCAAATTCCTTTCTAGTTTGCCTAAAACGACTGACAGTGCCGTATATTTTTTACATGACAAAACTTAGCTGCTAATTATAATAATACTAGACAGATGTTGAATATTAAAAAAAGAATGAATTCTTTTAATTTTTATTTATTTTTCTTTCGCAAACATTGCATTAACTATATCAACGTTTGTAAAATATTGACTTATGCCGCAATTATCGTCTTTTAAACTTAAAACACCCGATTTTAAACCTTAATATATTGTGGATAGAGATCAACATCCATTAGGTAC